AGCCTCAACGGGCGCTCCCGTGGCAGTCCCGAGATCTCCTGCGCGCTCCCCGACACGAGCCACCTTAGCCATGGTGACCTGACGAGGTAAGAAGGTCTCTCGGTGGTTTGGAGGACCAGTACCAGCATGGGGGGTTGGCCTGCTTACACCATACCTCATCTTCTGCCAGTACCGCTTTTAGTTTTTATCACATTCAGCCAAATGACACTTCAAGGTATAGAAGGAGTCTTTCCTGATATTCCTTTCAATCTTCAGATACCTTCCCGAGGTTATTCCTTAGATCAGCAGGTGTAGGTACCCACCAGGAGTCACTTGGTTAGTGTGAATTCCTTTCACAACTGCTCACGCCCCTACAAAACAAGCAAATTACCACTGTGCTGATAAGGGTGCAGATACGCTGCATTTTTTTTGGTGGTAAAGGTGGGAACTTGGGAGGATCAAACTGTTAGAGCTGTATCATCCCGCATTGTCAAAACAGACCTGCACAGGTATTACTTGATGGCTTAGATTGATAAATAAGGAAGGATGGTAAGAGAAAAGAGCGGAACAGCAGGGTATATACTCTGTGCAGGTCACTTTTCTCTGCTTGTTCAAGTACCTTAAAGGCTCGTTAGTTACGAACAAGTAGGCTCATGAAAATGTGGCTGAGTTTGGCTTGCGCCGCTCAGAACGCAGACACACACGATGTCACTGAAAATTTTCAGCTTTTTAAATTTAGATTGCTCAAGCATTTGAATTTTCAGTGTGGAAGTTTGTCAAATTAAGTGTTCAGTGGGACACTTGTGTGAAGAGGAAACAGCAGTTCTTGTGTCCTGTGTGTTGAGAAAAACTTGAGTAGAGCACACCGTAGGCCGCTGGCAGTGATGTCTCATGCAGCACAGATGAGTTAATTTTGTAACCTGTCCCAAGAACTGGGAATGTGGGAGCTTCTTTCAGTTTGTATTCTTTCTCTTTGAAATAAATGAAACCCAGTGGTGCTTATCCCTCCAAAGTTTGTTATTTTGTTTTGTTTTCCTCCCCACGTCTGCCAGAAGAAAATTGTCTGCTTTTTGGACGGTTACTACTAGTAGTGTATTTCTGTGCTTTCAACTCTGACATCCTTTTTCTATTTGTTCATCTTTGCCGTGCTATGAACAGCAAGGTGGGAGAAGTACTTCTGTATTACTGTTACTGTGAGGTGAAGGATCCAGAGAAACTCTGTGCTTGGCAAAAGGCTCTATGCCAGCACCTGCATCTCACTGGCAAGGTAAGGTTTTAAGCAATGGTTGTATTCTTAACAAAAGAACATCTTATTTGCTTAATGCAGGATGATGGGGCAGGTGGAGAACCAAGTGTTTTGTACCAGAAACAGGTGCTAGTCTGTCATGACCCCATTAAGAAATGCACTCAGACTCTGTAAAGCATCATTTAAAATGCTATGTAAGAGTATGGTGGTTTCACCCTGGCTGGACATCAGGGGCCCACCAAAGCCGCTCTATCACTCCCCTCTTTAACCAGACAGAGGAGAGAAAAGTAAATCAGAGGACTCGTGGGTTGAGACAAGGACAGGGAGAGATCATTTGTCAGTTACCATCATGGGCAAAACAGACTCAATTTGATAAAATTAATTTAATTTATTATCAATCAAAATCAGAGAAGGAGAGGAGAAAAACTGCTAAATCTTAAAACACCTTCCCCCCACCCCTCCTTTCTTCCTGGGCTCAGCTTCACTCCCAGTTTCTCTACCTACTTCCCCCAGTGGCGCAGGGGGACGGGAATGGGGGTTGGGGTCAGTTCATCAAACGTTGTCTCTGCTGCTTCTTCTTCCTCGGGAGAGGACTCTTCCCCTGCTCCTGTGTGGGGTCCCTCTCACTGGAGACAGTCGTCCACGAACTTCGCCAATGTCAGTTCTTCCCACGGGCTACAGCTCTTCACAAACTGCTCCAGTGTGGGTCCATAATTTCCATGGGGTGCAGTCCCTCAGGAGCAGACTGCTCCAGCGTTGGGTCCCCTGTGGGGTCACAAGTTCTGCCGGCAAACCTGCTTCAGCATGGGCTCCTCCCCCCACAGGTCCGCAATGGCTTGCCAGGAATCTGATCTGGCGCAGGCTTCCCATAGGATCACGGCCTCCTCCCTTCGGGCACCCACCTGCTCCGGCGTGGGGTCCTCCACGGGTTACAGGTGGGGAATCAGGGGCCCAGCCGCCCCCACCATGGCCTTCACCACGGGCTGCAGGGGAATCTCTGCTCCAGCGCCTGGAGCACCTTCTGCCCCTCCTTCTTCACTGACCTCGGTGTCTGCAGGGCTGTTTTCTCTCACATCCTCTCACTTCTCTTCTCTCTCCAGCTACTGAGCCGCAGCCGGTTTTTTTACTTCTTAGATATGTTATCACAGAGGTGCTTCCACTGTCACTGATTGGCTTGGCCTTGGTCAGCAGCAGACATGGGGAAAACTTCTGGCAGCTTCTCACAGAAGCCACACCTGTAGACCCCCCCCCACTACCAAGACCTTGCTACACAAACCCAATACAAAGAGTTAATGCTACAGAAAAAAAGAAAATCATACAGATAAGATGGTATCCCTTTTGATGCTGGGAATCCTGAGCTGGCAATGTGAGCTGGCAGCCCAGAAGGCCAACCGTATCCTGGGCCACATCAAGAGAAGCCTGGCCAGCAGGTCGAGGGAGGCGATTCTGCCCCTCTGCTCTGCTCTGGTGAGACCTTCCCTTGAGAGTACTGCATCCAGCTCTGGAGCCCTCAGCACAGGAAGGACATGGAACTGTTGGAGTGGGTCCAGAGGAGGGCTACTAAAATGATCCGAGGGCTGGAGCACCTCTCCTATGAGGAGAGGCTGAGAGAGTTGGGGTTGTTCAGCCTGGAGAAAAGAAGGCTGCAGGGAGACCTGATTACAGCCTTTCAGTACCTAAAGGGGGCCTATAGGAAAGATGGGGAAAATCTTTTTAGTAGGGCCAGCTGTGACAGGACAGGGGGTAATGGTTTTAAACTGAAGCAGGGTAGGTTTAAACTGGATATAAGGAAGAAATTCTTTACACTGAGGGTGGTGAAACACTGGAAGGGGTTGCCCAGAGAGGTAGCAGAGGCCCCATCCCTGGAAACATTCAAGGCCAGGGGGGATAGGTCTCTGAGCAGCCTGATCTAGTTAGTGGTGTCCCTGCTCACTGCTGGGGATTGGACTAGATGACCTCTAGGGGTCCCTTCCAACCCAAAACATTCTATGATTCTGTGATCCTGAGTTGTGCAGTATTGAGCAAGCCTCTGATCATCGCACAGCACACTGTGCACACCCTTGTCCTTGCAAGAGTTACCCTATTTCCATCATTCAAACTGCTACAGATTTTTTTTTTCCACAGGAAAAGAAGTCTTTTCATCAATCCTACTGTCAAACAGAAAGGATACTCAGTTGAGAACTTCTTGATGCACTTTTAGATAAAGGCAAGGACATGCAGGTAGCATAATCACTGGTATCAACAGGATGCTGCATGCAGGCATCTCTTAGGATTATCCGGCTGGGTTCATTCTGCAGCTAAAGGATACGTGCAGCACAACACAAACTGAAGGCCAAGCTGGAGGTGCAGCACTGTGCAGCATGGGTCTGGGCTTGCTCAAGTTAACTGTTATGTTTATCACTAACTCCTCAATGTGGAATCACTGCACCAAGGTATAATCCATAGTGTCAGGAATGAGAAGAGAGCAATGGACACCTTGGGTGACACCACAGAATAGCAGTGCTCGTTCCTGCACAGAGTCTTTGTTCTTCTCATTCCTGGCAGACTAGACCAAGGTGGTGAGTTGGCTTGTCTAGCTGGCCTCTTGAGGCTGTGGGCAAAGGCAAATTTTAGCCTCACAAAGCTGATGTTCCTAGGCTATCTGTGGGGAGAAGGATTTTTCAAGAGGGCAAGCTGGAGCAGGAGACTACTTCTGTCTTTGACTTGTCTTCCTGAGTAGCTTCTTTTTCTCTGCCAGTGATAGGTACCTTCCCTGTTCTACACCAGCATGGGTCTGGGGGTGAAACGTCCTGATCCATTCGCTTCTTTTTTTTTGCTCAGCTATCTTGTCTGGTGGTTGGGTTTTTTCTCAATCTTTTTTTTTTTTTAAATCTCCAAGACAGGTACAGCATTTGCCTTCTCAACCAGTTGTTTTTTTCCTTGCCTCTTATATAAAATCTTTTTTTTTTTTCTTTTTCACCACTTCAGAATTTTTGTTCATTTGTCAGTGCCGGAGATAAAATGACTCACACTGAAATTTAGTATTACGTGCAATTCATATGCATATTCACGTTTTCCTTTTTTGCTGTGTGAGTCATTGGGCACGATCCCATTGTTCTTCCTGAGGCAGTCCTCCAGTGGGAATTTTAATGCTGACTGCAGGATTTGCCTGCTAACGAGTTAGCATTTCCCTGTTTATTGCACAAACTTCTCTGACTGTCTTGATGCCATTCTTTTGAAATGGCTCAAAAGTGATTACTGGGGATTTATTCCTATTTTATTTACTGTCTTCTTTATGTCCAACTTCAGTATAACACTCTTTTCTTTCCTTCCTCTCTCAGTAGTCTCTTTTTCTGGACATACTTCTGTGTCTGCCTTTTGTCACCCGGTTGTATTTTGCTAATTTCACTGTGATCTGTTTTTGCTGTTATTAAGCCTTAGCCCCAGCTTCTCCTCTTGCCTTCTAGGTACGAGTTGCTTCAGAAGGGATTAATGGCACAGTTGGCGGAAGCAAAGTAGCTACCAATCTCTACATTGAAGTTATGCTTTCCCAGCCTCTGTTCAAAGGCATTTTATGTCAAGAGGATTTCAAGGTATGAAAAAATAATTTCTACACAGACATTGTTAATGCAGGACATATATTTTTGAGAAATAAGCACATTGCTTCTTGATAGTATTACCTCTGCTCTAGCAGTTCTGATCTCCCAGCACTGATCTAAGCCAAGGGTTCCTAACCTCACTTTGTTTAGATATCTCTGCCGGTTCCCACCAGCAGTGGCAGTTATCATGAGCAGTGACAGCAACTGCTGCAAGCTTTGGCAGCTATGGGTGCAGCTGCAACCCCCCCCCATACGGGTGAAGGAGGGGGTGCTTCAGCCCCACCATTCTTCAACAAGCATTTGCTGCAACTTGACTGCCAAAACCAAGGCATCACAACATACACCTACCCAAGCAAACTATTCCCACACTCTCCTCTTCACCCTGATTTGGGATCCTTGCCTAGAAGCCTACTGGTTTAGGTTCATGCAGGCTTTGGTGTCATTATAGGTGCACTGTCAGGTCGATGAATTGGATGTCTTTGAGAGAAAACAGAGAGGCAGAGTCAAGAGGTTTCTCCCTACTGCAGTTAGTGCCTGACTGGAGAGAGAGTGAGGTGCTAACTTCAGCTTGAGCCTGAGCGTATGTGCTGACTGCTGTCTTCAGATGGTGATGGCAGCTGTGGCTGGCACCGTATGGTGTTCCAGTAGGCTTTTGCTGCCCCAGCACAGTAGGTACTGGATTCTCTGCGAGGAAGGAAAGCTGCTGCTGTTATAGCATTTTTCTTTTCCACATGGTTTTATTTGCAGGGAGTACTATTTTTTTCATAAATAACTAGATCAAAGGAATTAATGAAACTCAAATCCTATGTAGCGCTGCAGTGGTGATTCAGTCTTAGCTTTTTAACAGTCTGTTGTGCTTGGCTGAATTTCAAGAGTAAATTTGACCTGCTAGTTACAGTCACGTGTAGATTCAAAAACAGAACAGGGATGGAGTTTTACCTTGACCTTGGCAAAACTTCCAACCCTGCATGATCTCTCTGGGCATCAACATTCATGCATTAGTACATGATGGTGTTTTCTGTCTCACAGTTGCTCTGCATGCTGTATACCCAACTAAGTGGGGTTGTGCTTGGGGCTACGAAAATATTCAGTGGCTACTGTAGTTGCTGCAGACTGATTTCCGTGGTAGCTGGGACAGTGCTGCACTTTTGTTTTGAGTGTTTATATGCTTGATAGTGCCTAAGCCATGTTCGAGGCTCAGCCCTACAGAAATTCTCACTTCCTGTCACCTGCAGTGGGGGTTCCTACCAAAAAGGGCTTGCCAAGACCTCCAAAAGGGAAATCCCATGCTTGACTTTGGGGGGCAGGAGGTGTCAGACTCCACTGTTAACAAATCTGGAGCCTGGCTGACCTCTCCTGTATGTCTCCCTCATGCCCATGAACTGCTGTAGTTCTCGTCACACATGTCATGACTGGAGGCCTAGCTGTGCTTGTGGCGGGCGTGAGAGGGGCTGAAGAGAACTGCAGGGCCCAGATGTGTGAGCGTGATCCATTATTGGAGGAGGCTGTTTAATATCCCTGTCAGGGTCAGCATGCTCTGTAGAGGCCTTGACTTTCTCATATAGGTGCTAGTGACATCGTTTCTGACTAAGATCTGTTCTCCTTCCCACTCCTTGGTGACTCCGCACCTCATGCCAAATGGTGCCTGCCTCACCTGTCTGTAGTCATTGGGCCTAAGACACCTGTCTGCCAGGTCACGGTAGAGGTCCACTGCCTAAACCTCAGGATTTAGAGTGTGGATTTCAGTGAGAGAGGCGTTTCTTTCCCTCAGCCACTGAGACACTTTCATATTCTAGTGAGTTATAGAAATAAAAGTGAGTGGGTAATTTTAATCTGGACACCTGGCAAATTTTGGTGGATTGTTTTTGTGTTTAATTTCCTAGAGCAGTGCAGGAGGAGCTCACTGTTTCCCAGATCTTCGAGTTGGAGTATTCAAAGAAATTGTACCTATGGGCATTGATCCAAAGACAGTGTCTTATAAAGAAACTGGTAAGTTGATTTAATGAAAAATAAAGCCTCTCACCCAAGTGAGAGGTAAGTGAAAAATAAAGTACCTTCATCAAAAACATTTCCTTCTGCACAGTGGCCAGGACACAGGAGAAGTTGATGAGGAAATTGATTTCTTACTGGTCTTCAAAAGCTACTGGTGCAGGGAATTTGCTGGCTGAGGTTTTGGTTTGCTAAGTGTTTAGCTGCCTCAGAAGAACTTTAGAATTAACTTTCTGTTTTGTGGGAAACAGTGATAGTTCAAATGACATCAAGCAGTTACCTTGTTCTGGGGTAGGGCCATACCTTGTGCTTTGGTCAGGGGTAAGTCATTGGACACCTGCTAAAGGCAGATGTAAGGTGATACTATGTATGATGGTTAGGAAAGACATTTCAATGCATCACTATATCCATATTTGTTCTAAATATTCTGTAGGTGCTTGAGACTGCTCGGAAATAATACCATATCAAGAGCTCCAATGCTCTCTTGTTGAGGTTAGTTTGCACTAAGAACCAAGCTGCACAGGAAGAGCTTTCCATGGAGTCTTCTTGTGGTTTCTGGTGCTGTGGTTGCTGAGAGGTTTTTTTTCAGAAAATGCTAGAATCCTGCTGATGCTTACAGTTGAATATATACACGTTCCTGTGTTCTGGACTGCTGACTTGGCTTTACTTGTGTTGAAGTTAACAGCCATGCTCCTGCCTTCTATGCTAAAGCAGAACCAAGTTCTGCATCAGGTTTGTGCCACTCCCCTAACACAGGCTGCATTTGTTTTCTGCTGCCTGTAGCTGCTTAGTATGGATGATGCCCAGTAAGGTGTTACCAGCTATGCATCTGCTATGAGGACACTCACGTAGGTGGTAAGCAGCAGCACAGCAAACAGCAATTAACAGAGCAGTTTGGGGCTTTTTTTTTCCACCACGAGGTTTTGTTGGTGGTAAATTTCTACAGCATCTTTTTGTGGTTTTGGCAAAGGATTTTTTCTTCCAGTTTTTGGCAGTTTGTGTAATATATGTTTGGCTATTTCTTTCCTTTTTTTTCCTTTTTCCTCCTATTTTACAGCGTTTTATGAAGATACTCTGGCAGGTTGCTTATAGGGTTACTTTTTAATAAGATAAGGGATTTTGGTGGGGGAAGGTTTTTGTTTTTCAGTAGGTGGGAAGTCCTAAGTCCTGAGCAACCTGAAAGCTGAGAAACGTTAAGTAAATACTAAAAGTAACACATGCGTATGGAAATTTTCCATTTTTATCAACAGAGAAGAGTTTCATTGAAAAAATTGCATTTCTGTATGCTTCTGTGCCCCCAAATGTAATGAAAGATGAGCAAAGGGAAGGGAAACATTTTTCATTCTCTCTTTCACAACTGTAAGAGTTGCCAGGGGGACATAACAAAGATCATAGAGACAGGCGCCTGTCTGCTGCTTCTTCTGTCACGTGGAATAGCATTGTGTTTTCTTTCATTTGCCAATAGGAAGCCAAACATGAATAAACTTGGCTGGTTGAGTTGGGATGAAAAGTCTGTGAACCCTTACACAAGATCTGTGTGGAATTCTGAGGAGAATCTGGATCAGCAAGATCATACATAACATTGTTTTGTAGTTCTGTTTCTTTCTTACTTTTCTCATTTTTCTTTTTTTTTTGTTGTTGTTGTTTTTACAGGAATCCATTTATCACCTCAGGAATTTCACAGAGAAGTAGAACAGTATTTGTCTCAGGCCAGTCAAGGACAAAGTGATACCATCTTGCTGGACTGTAGGAACTTCTATGAAAGTAAAATTGTACGTGTTGTTTGTCTGCTTCTTGCAGTGTGTTACAGGTGCTGGCGGGAAGCATTTCACATTGTGAGGGTGTAACCTTACTGGAAGAAGAGATTCTGTATTCCAGATTGACTGTAGTGTGTTCAAAGTTCAGTTTAGTGATGAATATTAGACACAAGCAGCAGAGGACCTGCTCAGCAACTCAGCACGGAGCCTGCCCACCTAAGTGCTTATATAGCTTGGGGCAGGGAGAAGACAAAGTGGTCGATGCCACATTAGCAGTGTATACCATATAGTTTGAAGTAAAAGTGGCATAATTTGTAAGGATGTTTTCCGGCATTTTTGCCTCATCCCATATGTCAAAAAGAATAGGGCATTCTGCTGTCCCACCCACCACACGTCCTGCACTGTTGTGGCTTGTTCTCTCTCTGACAGTTTGTTCTGCTTAGCTCCCTCTTTTATGTTTGGATGAGGAGATGTGCTTTGCCTGGAATCGTCCTAGAGATTTTAACAGGTATTTTAATGTAGCTGAGGAACTCCCTAAAGCAGCTGAGTGTTCTGGCACAAGGGTTTGTTACTTCCTGTAGTTCGAGGCACAGACCTTACCACGTAACACTGCTTTAACCAGTCACATGGCCACCTGTTGTTATTGCAGGGACATTTCCAGGGCTGTCTGGCTCCGGATATCAGGAAATTCAGCTATTTTCCTAGCTACGTAGATGAAAACCTGGAGCTTTTTAAAGACAAGCGTGTCCTGATGTACTGCACAGGCGGGATTCGTTGTGAAAGAGGCTCTGCTTACCTACGGAGCAAGGTGAGATGTCATTCGGAGGGCACAAGTGTCGGGGAGTTGAGACTGCTTTAAGGGCAGGTGTCTTCTCTTTGGCTGGTAGATTCTCACTGAGCACAAACTGCTCAATAAGCAGCTGGGAGATGAGTATCTCTGACACACTCTTGCCTCATGCTGTCTGTCAAGGATGTGGGTAGTTCAATGCAGCTGAGGATGATCTGCATAGACTAGTGTCACAGCAGTGATCGGTCTGTGATAATAATTATTTAACCCGTTTGCTGAGAAGAGATATTTGTAAGTCTGCCCTGCCCATTATAGCAGTGTTTTAGGAGGGCTTGAGGGCATTCCGCAGTGTTTCCACAAGCTCTGTCTTAGGTTATGCTCTGTGGTCATTACTGCACAGCTTGAGCATCTCAGACTGGTGAAAATCAGCCAGTCAGTGCTTTCCCAGTTTGGTAGAATTAAATCCAGCACACTGCATTGTTCTAATTGTGCTTTCCATCCCACTCTTTTTGTGGATCCTTCCCTCTAGGAGCAAGGGAACAGCACGCATATATGTTCTCCAGAGATTTAAACCGTGATTTTTTTTTTTCTCTGCTGCACCAATGTGAACCCTGAGAAATTCTGCTCCTGCTAACAGCTTGCTACATAAAAACAGAATAAGCTCACAGAGGTTCAAAAGCTTTTGATCTCTGATGCAGCAAATCTCCTTCGGATGAGGAGGTTACCAGCCTTTTTTTGGCTGTAACATTAAATGCCATTTGGGATCATGTCAACAAGCCAGGATTGTGGAGCTGCCCAGTAATCCCTGGTGGCACTGCCTAGAGTTGTGGGTGCACGTGGTGCCATCTGATGGTCACTGAGAAGCTGCTGCTTTTTGTTGACCCCTGGCATTTGCAACATTTGCTTTGGGAACTCTGGCACACCACCACTGCTGCTGTCTCCTTCAGCTTTTTTTGCTTTCAACAGGCAGTGTGCAGAGAGGTTTACCAGCTAAAAGGTGGAATTCACAAGTACCTGGAAGAGTTTCCAGATGGATTCTACAGGGGGAAGCTGTTCGTATTTGATGATCGTTACGCCATTTGTTCCAATGAAGATATCGTCTCAGGTAAGACTAGATAATGCAAGTGCAGAAGGCTGGGAAGCTATTGCAATCATTTCCACAGAGACGTGCAGCATACCAGCAGCCAAACTGGTCTGTGTAGTTCTTCTTCATACTCGCTTTGATCTTTTAGTGCTGTCACTTTTCATGTTGATCATCAACTCTATGGCTTTAACACATAAAACAGAAATGAGAGAAAACGGGGTCGCTAAAACTGGAGTGGTAAAAAGAAGCATCTACTGCAGAACAGAAAGGAAGCATCCCCTGCTGTTATGAGCCATCTAGAGCTATGGAGATGTACGTCAGGCACTACTGGTGTTGTTACCCCTTGCCCACAGTGCTGATCAGACTGTGGTTGGCCAAGTGACCAAAGTGTTAAATAGTTTGCTGCTGTCAGCTGTTCTCTGCTCCAGCAGTCTCACAGAACATAAGCACAGACTGCCAGGCACTGGGAGGGTGGTGGCACTAAGCTCTACAGCACTTTGTTATTTTCTGCTTTTTAAGTTTCTGCAACCTGTAGAATTTCAGTGGCCCCTAGTTGGAAGTTAAAAACATCACCTGGTCTCCTGGTTGGGGTTGCTCCTCAGATACTGCAAATGAAGTATCTGGTTTTTTCTTCTCGGTTGCCACATACAAATAGATGGAATTTGGTTCTAGACTTTTTCAGGAAGCAGTGCTGTTTTTTCTCTGAGTGAGTAACTTTTTGAGCATAATCTCCCATTCCTCCTGTGCAATTACCATCTACATCTTGAAGTTGCCTGGCTTGGTGTAGAAACAGAACATGCTCTGGATACATCACAGCCATGCGTACAGAAGTTTCAAGGGGAATTCTTGGGGTAGGCACCTTCTTGATGGTACAGCTAAACTGGGCCATAGCTTTTAGTTACAGGGTTAAAACTTGTCTGATAATGTGGAAGGACTCTATCAGGACTGCAGATGACACCCCCATCTGCACAAGCCATTGCTTTTAGATGGAAGGAAGTCCCATGGTACCCCCTTCCCCAGCAGGCAATGTTCCTGCTACTGGCTTAATTACCACCAGCATATCTTTCTTCTTGGCAGCAAGAATCTTTAAATCTGACTAATTGGAACTAGAGGAAGCATTAGTGAGCATTTTTTGCCTTTTCCTGAGAGACAGCTGTCCTAAGGTTTTACATGAAAATCAGAAGTTTATAAATGAACCAAGTTCTAGAAGATAAGCTAAAGCAGGAAGTAAAAATCTGGAAGACAATAGATAGCTGCTTAAATGAGAGGTTGCAGTGCCCTGGCACCTGGGAGAACCCTCTGCAAGGGGAGCAGATCGGGCAACGTGGTGTTAACTCTTTCTTTTCCTCCTCCCTCCAGCATGCAGATATTGTGGGACGCTGTGGGACCAGTATAAACTTTGTTCCAGCCAACACTGCCGGCAGCTTGTCCTGACATGTCCAAGTTGTCGCAACAAAGGTCTTACAGCTTGCTGTCCTGTTTGTCAAGAGAAAGAGCTCAAGATGACTTCAAGGGCTTCAGGACAGACACTTAAGGAGGAATGTGAATGTACAAGGAGACGGCCAAGGGTACCTATTGAACATGTCTCGCAAAGGATGCTGGATGCAGGAAAAGATTAAGTGGTTTCGTAAGCTGATGTGATGTGTGCTAATGCGAAGGGCTTCTATAACCAGATCCCTCTCTGTTATTCACTTAGGTTTGGAAATCATGAAAATATGTTGGCTTGGAAAGTCTTGTTCATATGCTGCCTTTAAGCTTAGAGTATGCCCTGAAAACCATCCATTACTTGACCATAAATTACCAGAGTGCCCAACCCATTCCTCTCCCTGGGTACAGTCGTGTAGCATAGCCTCTGCCATGGGGATTTTGGAGCAGAGTTTGTGCAATGGGACACAGCTGCTCACAAGTCAAAAGCAACAGAAGGGACATAAGAACAATTCCATTCTTTTCCTCTTGCGTGGAGATGGATCTGTCCGACCTCTCCATTGATCATGCATTTGCTTCAATAACTGGTGCTAGTGTGTTGAAACAGCAGATGTTATCAGTTGGGGGTGGGTACGTGACTGGATTAGCGCTGAACATACTTTCCACATACACACCATCTGCCTGTGTCTCTTGCTTTATACCAGTGAGAAGCAAGGGGTAGTTACCTGAAGTCACTGACTTGACTCCTGTGTAAAATCGGCTGAAGGCAGCTAAGCACCCCTCTTGTTACAGGAGCAAAGGCCCACAGATAGTGTCTGCCTAGCCGTACTTGCTGTGTGTGACCTGTAGGATGAACAGCAAAAGTAATCCTCATTCCAATGCTCTGTCTCCCTGGGAACTGTTGTTTTCTCCCTCAACTTGTCAGCATGTGAAATATTCAGGGCTCAGCTCTGCTTGTACCAGAAGAAAATGACGGCTTGAAGCATGTTGAAACTGAGACACACAGAGAGGGGAGCATAGAGACTGTCAAGATAACAGCATTATGGCGCTGGAAGTGATGCTGACATGTATGCATCAGTGTCAGGAGCAGCTATAAGGAGATTGCAAGATCCTTTATCCAAGTTAAATAATTTGAGATTTGGGGAGGATTTGTGCTTTGTAAACATGGGTTGAGTTCTTCAAAAGCTGTGAGATGCTTATGCGATTTCCAGCTCCTATTTGTGGAGAAATTGTCTTTGAATTTAAAGGGATCCACAGCATATAAACTCAAAATACTTCTCCGCCTGCTGTTTTGTGTGCCTGATGCTGTATAATGTACAGAAAGGTTTTATTAATAGTGTAGAAGACGTGTCTTGGCCAAAAAATGTCGTTGAAACTTACTGTCATTCTTGGTACTATATAGTAGTACTAATGTACTGACATTGAAGGTACTAAATAGTACCTTGGTACTAAATAGTAGTTAGTCATTAGGAAATCAAAATCACTTACTGGTTTGTTGGTGTTTTTTACTGGCAACTGCTTTTAGAAGTAAGAAAACAGTTTACTCAGGTTTCTGCAGTTGCTTTATGACAGTTAGGGCAATGTTATTTTCATATAGATTGTAACTTTCTCCCACAGTGCTATGAATTCAGCAAAAACTCATGCTTGGCTTAACTAGCAACTTAAAGACATGGGCATTGGTTCTATTAAAGCCATGGCAACCATTTCTTCTTACTTCCAGTATAGCTACCATGAAATCAATGGTTTGGCAACTCTCTTTATGACCTTTCCTTTCATGAAGCACAACTTTGAAACTTATGAATGTCTCCTTTGGGAATCTTTCTAGGATGGTATTTAATAGTAAATCTCTGCACAATCCATACTGGAGAAGAAACTGGAACATTTCCATCAATAAGACATCTTCAGTAGAAGTCTAAGCGGTACTCATGGTCCCTTGGCATCTTGCCTCCCAAGCTTTGCTGGCCAGTTAACCTCTGTGCTTTTGAGGACTGGAATATTTGTGGAAAACCACAAAAGCTCTACTTGCAGAGCACTGATGGGAGTGCCCCAACTTGCATATTATACTCTGTCTTTTTTTCATATATTGGGCTAGAAACAACACAATTTTATAATTCAGTCTATCAGCAAGTCTGGAACACTGTAATCTATTTGGAAGGCTGTTTTTCTATCACTTAACCAGTACAGAATGGCAACAAGTATATTTTATACATAAACTTCTGAAACTCCTATGATGATAAGTAACATTTAGTGCTTCTATTGTAATTTTTAAAGTACTGCACAAATACTCTTCACCTCTATGTGACCAGGTTGGATGGGTCTCTGAGCAACCTTAGCTAGTTAGTGGTGTCCCTGCTCACTGCAGGGGGTTTGGACTAGATGACCTCTAGGGGTCCCTTCCAACCTAAAACATTCTATGATTCTATGTCGGAGGTGCTTTATTCTGCAGAGGTAAATGCTGAAACCTAGCTAGACCTAGCTAGCTGAAACCAGGTAGACCTGGCTACAAGGTACAATTCTCCTGAGAGCTCCTGGCAGCTGGAGATTCTACCTCAAAGGCAGAGGGGAGCCATGGGGCCTCTTCTGGTCCTTGCTGCACTAAGGCAAGGGAGAAGGGTTTGAGATATACAGATGGAGGTCCATAAAGCCAGGTTTCCTCTGCTGCAGAGAGGGAAGAGGGGGTAAGAGACATCCTTAGCCTCCCTCTTGCAGGTTAGCCCATGAGCCGCTTCTGTATTCTGGCTTCCGGATTAGTTTCGTGAGATTAATACAAATAAGGACTTGCCATGTGAAATGCTGTGTGCTGGGATCCAGGCACCTCAGTGGTAATGCCTGAGAGAAGGCGCATTAGCTCCACGAGAGGAGAGTTAAGCGGGATTGACTGTGACTGCCAGAGGCTGCAGTCAGCAGCTAGCTTTTTCCCCTTTTCCTGGAGAGCTGCTGGGACTAACGGTGGTCCTTTTGCACCTAAATACCACCATTTTGTAGTGCCATTGCTGCACAGCTTGATACCTTTCACCATATAGCCTGACACCCCTCAGCACAGCCTGTTCCTGCTGCATGGCTCTTGGCTCTCAGATGCATCTTTCAGCAAAGCGGCTCTGTGAGGATCAGCTGAGGAACCTGGAGTGATCCTGCCAGTTTAATATACATTTGGGCTGCGTGGTTAATTTGGGTGCTGCTGCAGTGAAACACAGGACAAGGTTCTTGCTTCTTTTTTTCTTTTATTTCAAGGGCTATTTTTTTTTATTCAGGAAAAAAATGCTGTTGTAGTATCTGTGGTAGTGCTCCCTGCTCTCCATGCATGTCTGGATTTCTTAGTGCCATCAGGATTTCCCAGGATAAAAATAATTTATGTTCTTCTGAAGGCAACGGAAGAGCTGAGCCTGTACCATGTAAATCTGAGTGGATGGCTCAGCTGAAGCTGTATGGCTCTGGTTTGATGATTTACTTGACCGTTTTGAAGTCTTCACAGTGCATATGGAAGAAAGAGGCTGTCTGCCAGTTTCTCTTTTTTTTTTTTTAAATATGTTTTCAACTATTTTTCTTCTGCATTCTTTTTATTTTCTGACACAGAACTTATGGGGTTAGGGGGAAGAAGCTATAGAGAAGCGTTTTATTTTACACCACTGGCACATTTATTAAGATTTGAAGAGCAACAAATATGTTTCCCACACTGCCGAAAGCATAGTGTTTCTCTGCTTCATTGGTCAGAGCTAAATCATGGGTGGTATTTGCGCTGAAGGAATCTGTAGGACTTTTGCTGGAATATGCGTAAAGGGCTGCAAAGCTTCACTCTTAACAGATGCGTACAGACAGACTTCTAGCATGCGAGAACATTTTCTAGGGCATGTTGTCATCAGACCAAGAATAGGGCTTCAGTGTGGCAGTGCTTCTGCCAGGAGACTCGTTCCTACCAAGCAGGATCCCTGATGGGATAGTGCTGAGTCCAACCCACTGTGCAAGCCTGCAGGGAATTCCTCCCAGGTTAGATGACGGGTAGTAGACTGTCTGACAAAAAGCTGTCTGACTGAATGCAGTGTAAGTTCAGAGTTAGGGTATTTTTGCTTCACAGCTTTTCTAGGGCATAGCATTTATTGTTGCATTTAGGCAGACATTAGGGATGGCAGTGAAAGAAACAATCCCCAGCAGAACAAAACTGAATTAATGGACATGGCCATCTAGACAAAACAGCAAAGAGAGAGAATTTGACTTGTTTCCAGTGAAGATCTGGACACATGCTTTTAACGTTAGGAAAATGAAGGGAGTGGGGATCAGAAGAGAGGGCTCTGGTTTGCCAATCGGTTTGGCCATCTCTGTGGGGTTAGGATTTGCACCTCATCGCTAAAGGTGACTTTTTTTCAGACGTGCATAGTATAGAAGGGTATTAACCCATCCTAAACCACTCAATTTTTGAGACTCTCTTTTATAGTTGGTGGCCTTAAGTTCCCTTTAATCAGGGGGTGGAGATCAGTTTTTTGGAACACAGGGATGCATCTGAAACAGCATCTCTAACTAATTGACTCAGCAAATGTTGGTAAAAAAACTGTAATTCAAAATTAAAATTAGCCATGTTTCCAGGTAGTAGAAGTGCTTGTTAGACTAGTTGCTCCTCTATAGTTACTTGAGATCAATTTGGAAACAAACAAAAATAAAGGGTTTTTGTAATACTTCTATAATGTGTGTGGAACAGTTTTATCTTTCACTCGTGCATACCACATCCTAACTGTATGAAACACCGTGCAGGAAGTTTATAGAAAAAATCAGGTCCCAGGTTAATTAAGAGTCACTTTTACACTGGGATGTACTCTAAACTGAGATTGCATAAAATTGGGAGGTTGTTTACTGGCTTGAATAGTTTCCAAATCTACATAAAACATTAACAGTCCTACTGGATAAAATCTTCAACTACAGCCACTAGTTCATTTAAACTGTTAGTGCATAAAACGGAACCGAGGCACCACAAATACTCTGTCAAGGCACTTATTGCCTTTAGATTTCCACAGTGCAGCACAGATCACCGGGAACGACCTCCATAGCCAGGAACTACACTCCAGTTCTGCACTTGGGAAAAATAGGCCCGTTCAACTCTGCAAGTCTTCTCTTCCTCACTGCAAAAGAAGAGGAAGAGGAGTCAGTCATGGCAATGGGAAGAGGTGGATGGCAGGCTTGGCTTACCCACTGTGGAAAGGAGCTGAGAGATGTTACTTCCTGCCAGGAAAGAAACAGGATAGCATCAGCTTCTGAATTCCTGCTTTGAGCAGCAGGCATGGCCTTACACAGTTTAAAGTCGAGGCAGGTAAGGTGAGGTTTCTCTCCCTATGAATTTTTAAGGCCAAGAAGCTACTTTTGAAGCATACTGCCCTTATGCTGCAGTCAATTATGTTTTATGCAGTTTGTCTTTGTGATCTGACTTTGGCTGAAGCCTCATCTGATGCTGACAGCAGGAGATGGATGCCACAGTTTTTCCTTTGCTAGTTTTTCTCAACTGCCCTTTCAAATTTAAAAAGAAAAAAATTCTATCTCGTTTCTTATCTTAAGCCTATAAGTCAGTCCTCTGATCATGGATAACATGGTCAAAGCATATCTACTCTTAAAGTTGATTTACAGCTCTGACAGCTATGCTCATGACTTTTCAATAAACATGTGTGAGAGAAAAGGAAAAAAAAAATGTATAAAGAGGATGCAGAAGTTAGCTCATGAGGATGAATGTAAAAGCCGCCTTAGTTGGTTCATATAGAGCATCTTAGAGACAGAAGCTATAGGACCAAAACCAAGTTCTGGTAGCATCAGGTGATGGTAGAGCACTGAGTGGAGCACAAGCAGAGAGCTCTTGCTGACAGGGAGGAAAAGAAAAGTTTTCTGTACTTATACATTGTCCAGGCGTAGAGCTGAGACGCTATTGCCAGAGACCATCAGACCGATGAATACGAGCTGCAAACAAGAACCAAATCAGACAAAAGATGCAGATCTTAATGGTCAAAGAGGCAAAATGCACAACTGGTACATGGAGGACAAGTTGTGAATTCCTCCCCTTAACAGCAGAAACAATTAAAACACTAGAGTCAACTCTTCCAGCTGATTACTTTGAATGCCAGGTGCTGCATGGTCATTAAAAATCTCGCTCTCTTCCAGAGGACAGAAAATAGCAAGTCTTTCCCAGCGCAGCTCTCTAGTGACCAGGAATGCATTTGCAGGCAGAATAAATACACAGTGAACCGTAATACTGAACATTCTGTGTGGTCCCTGAAGAACTGGCACATACCTCTATGCTTGGCCGTGCTTCCGAGGAGCACGGTACTGGCTGAAGCAAGATTGATTTTTTTTTTTTTTTTTAAAAACCACAACTTGTTTTTCCTCATCTGTCAAAAAAAGGTTAGTGGCTAAAGAAAGATTGATTTTTTTTTTTTTTTTTAAAAACCACAACTTGTTTATCATCATCTGTCTCAATATGGCAGCCACTTAAAGGTGTTTTTCTGTGGCTTTTAAACCTGAAGCTGATTCAGCAAGGGACAGAAGCCCCTGTCTGTGGTGAACCATATGCAGATTAAAGCACAAGGTTCCAGTTTTTCACCATTTCTTCATGGCTGCCATTCACACGTTAGGTCTTTCCTCAGTCCCTGCCTGTTAGCCCTGGCTTTTTCGACATGCCTGGCAGAACCCAGCAGCACTGTGTGATGGTGGGGGAGTGTCCTGGGGAGCCTCCAGCCCAACCTCCCGCTTGCAGCAGGGCTCTGCCTAGCGCTGGGTCGGGGCGGCCACTGGCTCTGTCCCTCCGAGCCTTGCAACCCCCACCTTCCCAGGGAAGGGGTTCTTCCTAACGTACAGAAAGAACAATCTTATTCCTCCCAGATATAGTCTGCCGCCGCAGAGCAGGAGTTTGGTGCTGTCATGTTTGTAGCCACCCTGCCTATGCCATTAGGAGCTGCCGAGCACAGCGTTGAGTTGGCTGCCCTCAGTACGGCTCTGCTGGGCTGATCTCCAGTGCTCTACAGCAGCTCGTCGCCAAGCAATGGGAAGCCTCTGCTGCATGCATTGGCTGAAATGCCAGTTTGCAGACTTGCCCACGTTTTGCTTCACAAGCACTTCGATCACTTCATTGAGAGTACAAAGATAACTCACAGCCATGTGTCGCCCCCACCTCTCCCTTTCTAGGAGACTTCCAATTTGTTTTGCCGAAGGGGATGGGCCAAGTCCCACTGCTGTCAAAGTTCAACTCTACCACTTTTCATCTTCATGTTAAAGTGGGAATGAAGCTGGAGGAAGACAAGCAGTTGGCAGGAATCACAAGTGCTGGCAGCTCACAACCTGTGTGCCATATGCTGTAGCACGCGCCGTACCGAAGCACGTTAGCAGCTCTCACTCCTTCCCAACGGGACCCACTGTTAACTGCCAAAAAACGCTGCCTCTTCTGGGAGTTTTAGCTCCAGGTTTGGAGCACAACCTATTGACTGGCCGACAGCAGCTGCATTGGGGAACCAGTCCGTGAAGGCTGCTTTCCTTCTTGAGAGGCAAGGCATCATTGGGCGCTTCAAGAGGTGGTTTCTAATTCAAGCATATCCGCTGGAGCCTTCAAGAGCCCTTCTAACACTAGGAATTGCCCACAAGCAGAGGGAGGGACCTTCCCCTGCTCCCTGGCTTGCAGCCAGCCCGACTCACCTAGGTCATTGTTATTCATCATAGCATTGGAGGCACGGAGCCGGGGACCTTGCTGAGTGAAATGGTACCCGAACTTCAGCAGGGAGGTGTTTTTTTCCAACATGTTCGCGATTTCCATTTCTACTTTGTTGCCCAAGGGCTGGCTCTTTTGAAAACAGGAAACAGAAAAGCAAGCTGGTCAGGTCAGAGAGTGATTTAGAGCGAGCACTTAGAACTGCCATCTCCACCCCTTCCCTCGTTCTTTGGACCTCTTGGTCCATTGGCATTTCTGAGTTGGAGCCAGTGAAACAAACCGCTGGCATGTTCCTGGTACAACCCAGTGGTTCCAACTCCTCCAGCAGACATTCCCACAAGTCAAGTCCTCTTGCCCAAAAACTTTGTTTCTCAGGCAGATTTGCAGCTGAGAGACGCCTGGAGAAACTATGATTTTGAACCCCCAGCCAAGTGTCCCTGAGCTCCCCCTAGCTCAGCTGCTTCACTACTACTCCCCTGGGTTTCTGGGGGAGCTAAACTTGCCATGGCGTCTGTACCACTGCA